AAATCCATCACTTAAGATCTTACGCTGTTTCTGTACCGACAAATGTAATTGCACTTGCCACACTGTGCTTTTTTCGGATACTTATCTGCAGAGAAATGATGTTCCCCTAAATCAGCTTTTTAAGATAAACACACATGCATGTGCTGTTTATTGTACTTTAAAAATACAAAAAAAAAAGTTGAGCACAGACAAAATTCTTCAAACTGCATTTGGAGAGTGACCTAAGATGTGGGAAAGTTGTCTATTGCTTATGTTATTTTTTCACCCACTTTTGAGTGCTTTGAGGCTACATTTCCCCTGAGTTATGACAGATATTGCCACCCACCTTAGTTCTTCCTGCCTCTGCCCTAACAGAACCTCTTTGTTGTTTTATCTAATCAGATTCAGAGGCCCTGCTAGAGTTGGCTCTTTCAGACTGTTCAAAGAGGTTATATTTCTTATTTCCCAGGCTTCAGAAGAACTAAAAATAACCAAGTGAAAATCTGAAATGCAAAGCTAATATTCTTGCCAGTGTTAAGCAGATAGGTTGTCAGGATTAACAAGAGATTTTACAGATCTGAAAATTTGAATAAATCAGAACACTTAATTTTTCTTTGCTGAGTTTTCTGAGTTTAATCTTTCCTAAGCCACTAAGAATTTTTTATAAAAATATTTACCTTAATTTTTTCTGAACCAAAGATATGTGGTGTGTCTTCACGCAAAGAGAAAAATTTATTATAAAACTTTCTGTATACAAAAGAGAATATTCATGACAGATGAGGGCTTGCAGTTCAAATGACTTCGGGGTGAAAGCGACCCAAGTTGTTTCTCCAGTCCGCGTGGAGAGCAGGAGTCGTAGGAGTGTCGCCCGATGCCAAGCACTGAGAATTTTTACCGGCAAAGATGGACCTGCAGTAGGCATAGGGCAGGATCGTTAGGCTAGTTCTAATGTGCTACAGTTGGTCACACCAGCCATGTTTGTATCTATCTTTGCACAATAATTTTCCCAGGATTTGTCAAAAGTGAAAGCTCTTAATAGAAAGGATCCTGATCCACTGGCTGGATTATGCCGTAGAGCAATGTTTCCCAACAAGTTTATAGAGAATTGGGAAATGGAAGAAAAAGCAGTGTTAAGTGTTGGCAAATGCACTTCTTTTAAGTTGAGAGAGTGAGAAGCAGCTGTAATTACTGACTGCAAACATCCACTGTCTTGAAGGAACTTTTAACTGCTTACATTTGCTGGCAGTAGCAGTTTTCTCTATGATGGAGAACTCCTGCAGCCAGTAATTACAGCAACTTTGAGCTCCCCCTCTTCCAGAGGAACTGAAAAGTTGGCAGCACAAGCCACAGCATTAAGGCAATTAAACGTTTACACAAATGAGCCAAAGGGAGGACCCATTTTCAAAAAGTCTGACAAATGCTGCATGTCTGCTAACTTCCAGAAACCGGGAAACGGCCAGCAACGTGACACCCCAGCTTCCAAACTTGCAGCTCCATTCAAGGGACGCAAGCTTGAAGCAGAACTAAGATTAGCGACCGGTCTAAGCCTCTGGAACAATTTGAAATGCGACACAGAACTTAGTTCTCAGCTCATGGAGAAACTGCATGATGGAAAAGACCCGGCGGGTGAGATGCTAAGCTGAGTTCAGGCTAGCTACTGTAACGCAGTCGACCATAAATCTGGCCCTCGGGATCTGGGGACTATGGTTAATCAGTGGCGGAACAAAGTAAGACCTGTAGTGAAACAAAAGCGAAAGTATTACAAATGATCCTTTAAACTGAAATTATAGTTAGGTGAACTATTTTATAACTAATCCTAACTTAACAACGCCAGGCTACTGTTTTCTCTCGCACAAAGTACAGCTCCACATAATTTTTCTGTTTTCTGTGCAACTTGTACTTTTATGGAAGGCTTTTTCTTTTTCTGATGCATATACTGGAAAGGATTTTTATTGCATAGTCATGTAAGGAAGTATTATCACACTGGGCATGCACAGAGAATGCAGTTTTAACTTCTTAATTCACCACTGTTTGTTTGCTTTTCATTCAGTATGAAACTGTTAACCTTTAAAAAAACATAACCAAGAATATGGCTAAATATTTATTATCATAATCTCATCTTTCACATATTTGCAAGTTCAGTACTGAAATACTATCTAATGCAATGCCTCAGCCAAAGTGGATGTGGCAGACGTTTTGTTTCTTTTTTATTTGATGTCTTTTTCCCCATTGACATTTATGGATGATATGAATCTGAAATTAAACGTGCAAAAACAAAAGTATGGATATTTTATCCCTTTTAATTTTACCATTAATTGTTTGAAATTGTTATACTAATACATGAAGCCTTTTATTTTAGGAATCTGAAGAAAAAAAAAAAATGCGTTAAGTGTACCCATGCCACACATTTAAATGAGAAGCCAGTGACTACGGCGGCAAAATCTGGTTTCATAGAAGTCAACAAAGGCTTCCCACCCATGTCAGCAGAGCCAGAATGTTACCTTATAATCTGGGGCTCTGTCCAGCAGGATCTATTTCAGAATTTGTGACCACCCTCTTGCTTTATTAGTATCGCCACCCAAATTCCCACGTTCCTGGTTGAAGCTCATGGCTAGCCCCGCTCTCCGTTTTTTGAGCTCCACTGTTAAGAGCTCTTGAGAAAACCGCTCCAACTGGTTGGCATTAGAAGGAAATGAGAATCTTTTAAGTGGCTATTGTGCATGTCATTTGCATGCACTGGATGACATTTCAACACCAGGCAATGCCTCCTCTCCACCACAGTCATCAAGAGTGGTTTGGCGTTTTTTTTCTTCCCATATGGGCACTGAGGTTTCCAACAGCATTGATCCCTCTGCACGTTTTTCTATACTTTGTACAAGCCTCTTTCTTTGAACATATTTCTGCAAACAGAAAGTCTTCAATGTGCAACAGTTTTTTAGCAGCTTGCAGGACTGAGCCCTTGATGTGATTATTTGATTATATATGAAGTAACTCTCATGATCAATGAATGATGTCACAGCTATCACTTTGAAGTTAACGGCAAAATTTGCATTGGCTTAAATCTGAGCAGGATCAAGACATGCAGCATCAGACTGACATCCCTTAATCAATTTCCGTATTTCTCTTTAAATGCTCATGCTTCACTCCATGCTTTTTCATGAGATGAGAGAAAAGAGCAAACGCTGGAAACTGATGTTTTCACCAGCAGTAGGCTGTCACGCTTAACAAATTCTTCTAGTATATCAGCTTACGTGGGCACTCTGTCCTCGATCAGCTCCCACGTTCCCATAGACGGCAGCAGAAGTTGCACACAAAGACGAAATCAATGACCCACACTTCGCAAACGGAAATAAAATACTCCACCTGCAGACAAAGGGCCTGACTGAAAGAAGTGCTGCAGCACCTTTAGCGAAGTAATTCCTACAGACTTGGGTGGAAAATACTGAGCCCGTATTTCTTTGCTTCTTTGAATTTAAACTATGACTTAAACTTGCGTAAAAAAATCTGGGATATATAGAGGCCATATTGGAGGCACGGCCTTTATCTCTCAAGTTAACAGGAAATGAGAGGCAGTAATAGGATTTTAAGTACTTTCTCACTCGCAATGAGCATCCAACACTCGTCGAAGAAAACTTCCTTTCAAAACCCTTTTCATTCCAAGTCTGCTCAACAGAGAATCAAAACGCGCGTGTGTGCACGAACAACGTTCATTTGTATTCTTAAGTGAGCTTGCTTTATTTTGCCATTTACTAAATGCTGGCGTAAAAATTCCTAAAGCAACGTGACTCTCACAACAAACACAACCGACAGACCCTAGCTGGAGAGCACATGCAAGCACAGACTGCAATTGTTCTGCGGTTATTTGAGAGACAGTGGTCAGGGAAACAGGGGTCATTAATTTCTCTGCATATCTTAAACATTTCCAGAGATGTGCTAAAATGTATTAAAAGCACAGCAGCCGACATCTGAGGCTGAAACATCACAAAAGCTTTAGAAGGGGATTTCTGTGTAAGAGTGAGAAGGGATGGTTTGGTTTTGACCTTTGCATTGAGGAAAGCAACACACTTTTAACTCTTTCCACCTTGCTTTTGCAAAAGATCAGCTGAACGACTCCCGAAGAAGCGTGCCCTCCAGAAAGTCGACGAAGACATTTTGGCTGCAGGTGGCAACAGCGTTAGCCCCGCAGGCTTCGTGCATATGAACAAGGGTGGTCCTCCGCACGGGCCTGGCACCGCCACCCAACGGGGAAACAAACCCCGTCCGGTTTTAACTCCCCCGCGTTCTCCACAGGCTCCCGCGCAGCTCCCGCAAGGCAAAAAAACGGAAAAAGGGCGAGCAGCGGGCGAGGGAGAGCCGGCAGCGGGCGGGGGGGCCGCCTCCCGCAGCCCTGCGCCCTGC